TTTAATAAATTCAACTTGATAACTTTGAGCAAACATATTATTATTTTGTACTCTAAAATATTGTATAATAAACATAATAAAATATAAAAAGTAATAATTATTAACATTTTTTAAAAATATAATGTAAATAACAAAAAACCAAACAAAACAAAATGTAATAATATTAATAAATTCATCAACTTGATAACTTTGAGCAAACATATTATTATTTTATACTCTAAAATATTGTATTACAAACATAAATAATATAGAGTTAGTAATTAATAACAATTTTTTTAAATAATATTAAGTACATAACAAAAACAAAAAATTATATTTTAATCATCATCACCTGACATACATAATAAATCATCACTGTTGGTATTTTCTTCAACTAGATTTCTATAAAACCAAATACAATCTGGTGGGACATATTTTGATGCTAAGAGTTGAACATCAGTATACTTTGCTGACTTTATTCCTAACACTGCATTGTATAATTTTGGTAAATTTTCTGGTAATTTTACTTTTTGTCCTTTTTTTTCAAGTACAAATTTTTCTTTCGCAGTAGAATGACCTGATATACTGCAATATAGACCTTCTGAGTTATACTCCATATATCTGTAAGCCATAATAGAAAATTTGCTATTTTTGTCAACACCAGATACAGTTTTTTTAAATATAGTTTTTAAATTGTCAGAAAAGTTAAAAATTATATCTTGTGTAACTTTAATCACTTTAAAGTTTTTCGACGTATTGCGAACTAGTTCATGATATGTTTCAGGCAAATAAACTCGTTCTAAACGTTTTCTATTTTTTTCTATTCGTCCGAAGCATCGATCATTAGGTAAAAAACTGTGCCCTGGCTCCGGGTACCTATGTATTATCTGCTTTATCCCATATAAATTTGATTTCACAACAGTATATAAATATTGAAACAATGCATTGTTCTTATTCTGACCACTGCAGTTGTCGGAAAAAAGGTATATTTCTTTAACATTAGGCGATATGAGATTTTTCAAAAAATAGTTTATAAAACTAATGACATCATTTTTCCCTTTTTTTGCAATTGTTTCGTCGTACATAAAGTGATACGATTTTCCTGTTTTACCCGAGAATATACAGAAATTATATGACCACAGTTGGCGTTTATAATACACATCGCCACTCGGGATATGTGGGAGTGGAAAATTTTGCTCAAAATCAAAAGTTAATGTTTCTACAAATTCATCTGCTTTAGCCTTTTCACAATATAACTTTAGATTAGTGTAAAAAACCTCTGCTTTACGTAAGTGAACTTCTTTTTCAACTTCCAACTGTTGTTTTATTTCTGAGTCGATTTCATGCTCAACTAGGACTTTCAACCTATCACACGTTTGGCAGGTATCTGTCCTAGGATAGCCGAAGGATAAATTAAAGTTTTCTTTAATATATTTTTCATAATATTTATATTTTACGATAGGTTTGCATGTTAAATCACCATTTTCTAATTTATCATATGTATCTTTATCATGCAATTGCAAAAACAATTTGTACATTTTAGAAATATTAAGATCTGAAGACAAGTATTGTGTGTTAGAATTATCACTCCTACTGTAATGTGATGATCTTTTCGGAAAACTGGCAATGTGTGAATGTATTTTAAAAATTAAATCTTCGGGTATCTTATTTGGACGGTTCATGTGTTTACCGCGTAAATCTACGGGACTAAATTCATTTATTTTTACTTTTTTGATTAACCTGTCCACTCTAGATTTCCCAATACCAAGCAGCGAGCAAAATGCTTTTTTACAAACATTGACTTCTCTAATATTAATGCGTATTTTGAATTTACATGAGCAAGACCTTGTAGGTCCATCTCCAGTCTTTGGTCTACGCCTTACAATGTTATTAATAGTAATGAGAGCACATAAATAGGTATCTTGTTTTTCCTTACTACCCATAGTGTTTAAAATATCAATCGTATTATTTTTTTCTTCCTCGTTAAATTTTGAAAAACAATTTAGTAGACATTTACAATCTACTCCAGTTTGTCTTTTTTTTACTACTTTATTTTTATAATTACCAATAAATTCAATACCTTCAGTTCTTTTCTTTTTTTCAACGTTTCGGTTCCACAATGAACGGTTACATTTTTTTCTTTTAATGCCAGTTGACATTGATGGTTCGCTAATATTATCCATTTCATCGTTTGAATCTTCTATGATATTTGGACCATTCAAGTCAACATTGGTATGTTCATCTTCATCATCACTATTAAGACAAAGAATGCCATCTAAATCGGAATCATTATTATTCACAATTTCAAAATTTGGATCGGCAATGTCATCATCGAAATCATCTGACGACGTTGATGAATCCAAGTCAAATATAATATCGTTAATACGCGTCTCTTCGTCCATGTTTATAATTTCTTAAAAATGACTAGTTAGTAGTTAATACTAAAACATAATACTAAATAATGCTTATACTTAAAAATTAATACGTACCTATCAACAAAATAACGAATTATATTATATAATCATTTATCATACAATATAGAACAATATTATGATATTAGTTATAATGATAGTACCGTCAACAGGATAATATTATGCAGTGTATACAACGTGACAAAAGTTCATGGCAAAAACCAGATAGCTCCGGAGCTACCTTGTTCTTCGACCGAAAAAAAAAACAAGACAGCTCCAAATACGTTATATTTCCTATACTGGTTGTTGGATTTGTCTCGTTCTTGTACCGATAAACTCGTAATTTTTTGCTTTATCAAATTCAATGAAAACCCGATTTTGAAAAAAAAATGGAGTTGTCCGGTTTTTGCACGGACGCCTCAATTCCACATACAAGTTTTTTGCTTTTTTGAGCCATTTCAGTAACTTTAGATCTCACAACTTTAAAACTTTCTTCAGTAAAACCTGGTGCGCCATCAACTGTCAAATACCATTTCTTTATGGTGCTAGGGTGAGGCAAAGACTTATTAAACGCATCTCTTACATAATTATATGCAGAAGGCGAGTAAAAATGTAAAATCAGAGCAAAAGTTCTTAATTCTGGACTAATTATTTTTTCTGAATAATTCAATTGTTTCATAATTATTTCAGATCGAGCAGTTGATAAACTATCCTAAATAAAATTCATAAAAATAAAAAATATTCAAGACGAGTATTAATAATTTGAAACAAAGTAAAATATATTCACAAAAACGACAGACACAGTACAAATTCTTCACTAGCAAATAAATCTAAATAATATATATTCTATATTATATATTATATGACGATATGGCATAAATCAATAGATACATAAAACAATTATAAAAGTAGAAAAATTTTTAAGACACATAATATTTAAAGCAATTAATATGATCAAGTCAAACTAACACAATACAAATACATTACAATTCACATGCAACAACATTATATATTAAATAGGTAATACTCCATAAATCAATGGATATAAAAAACAATTATAAGATAGAAGAATTATTAAGACACATAATATTTATTGGAACATTAACTTAAAGACAGGTATGTTAAATAAATATTTCGTTTTACTTCTCCCAAATTCAGGAACTGATTACACAATACACTTACCACAAGCAATTAAATACAACACTGGATACAAAAAACAATTATATAATTATAAAATAGAAGATTAAATAAAAATAATAAAATAAATAAATACTTAAATAATATTTAAATAATTGTTAGGTATGAGTTGTTTCTTTCAAAATGTATTTAAAAAAGTTAAAATTATTTTATATAATTTGTTTTATGTTTAACATGTATTGCCAACACATAAATTTATGGATGCAGGTAGACAAAACAAACCTTTAAAATAGAAAAACAATTATTTGAAATCAGTTTTTTTTCATTTTGTAAGTGACCAACCAAGCTATTAACTGTTTTCAATTTGTTTTTGAGATTATGAAATTCATTTTCAAGTAGTTTAATTTTTTAATTTTTTGGTTATCACATAATGCTTTACATGTATTCCAGCACTTGAGCCTGCTATCTGGGCTTT